GTTCATTCTGTCTGCTCTCCCTGAAGTAGGAGGGAGGCTGATGAATCTTAGAAGCTAAAGTTAAAACTATGAGAAAACCCTGAGGAGCCGTGCTCCCCTCTCTGGGGGACTGGGGGGGTAGGTTGGGTCAGTTAGAGTTTAGAGGGGAAAGGTGTCTTGAGCATATGCTGACTGGGTGCCATGGAGGAAGAATGAGCTGGAAAAGCACTGGACTTGCATTCCTTTCTATCTCCTGTATTTTAAAATTAACCTTCTCAGAATCTTGTCTCTTATTTACCTTTCGAAAGAACCAGTTTTTAAAAATTTTATTCTTGGTTAATCATTTATTTTGTCTGTTTTATTCCCCTTGTCATTGATTTCTATCTTTATTATTTCTCTTCACTCTTGTTTCTTTGTTCTCTACTCTGAGTCTTTATCCAGTTTATCAAATTGAATGCTTTATTTGTATGGAATAATTTTTCTCTTAATAAATGATTTAGAGTCATAAATCATTCTGTGAATACCACTTCCGTTATTTCCTGCAAATTCTGATGAACAGTATTTTCAGTTCTAAGAATTTAAAATTTCCCTTTGATTTTTTTATAGAATTATTTAGCCTGGTGAACAAGATGTTAAAATTGAACTTTTACTATCTCCAAGTTGACTGGGGCTTTAAGGCTGAAAGCAATAGATGCTATAGTTGTACCTAGAATATTACAATACTTCTTCAGGTCCCTTCACATACTGATTCTTAAATATTCCTAATGGGAAAGTAAATTGTGCAACATGGACCAAAGTTGAAACTGTATAGGGACTTCCCTGGTGGTCTGGTGGTAAAGAATCTACCTTCTTGGGACTTCCCATTGGCAGTGGTTAAGAATCTACCTGCCAATGCAGGGGACACGGGTTCGAGCCCTGGTCCAGGAAGATCCTACATGCCCCAGAGCAACTAAGCCCGTGAGCCACAACTACTGAGCCTGCGCTCTAGAGCTCACGAGACACAACTACTGAAACCTCGTGCCACAACTACTGAAGCCCACGTGCCTAGAGCCCATGCTCCACAACAAGGGAAGCCACCACAATGAGAAGCCTGCACACCGAAACAAAGAGTAGCCCCTGCTCGCCGCAATTAGAGAAAGCCCGCGCACAGCAACGAAGACCCAACGCAGCCAAACGTAAATAAATAAATACATCTATTAAAAAAAAAAAAAGATTCCACCTTCCAATGCAGAGGACATGGGTTGGATCCCTGGTTGGGGAACTAAGATCCCACATGCCGCAGGGCAACTGAGCCCGCACCACAACCACTGAGCTTGCGTGCCTCAACTAGAGCCCACGTGCCACAAAACTACAAGGCACATGCGCTCTGAAACCCGCTCACCACAACTACAGAGAGAGAAAACCCACATGCCACAACTAGAGAGAAGCCTGCATGCCACAACTACAGGGCCCACACGCCCTGGAGCCCGCGACACCACAACTAGAGAGAAGCCCACGCACCTCAACAAAGAACCCGGGCACAGCAACAAAAATAGATACCACGTGCCTCAACGAAGATCCTGCAGCTGCAACTAAGACCCAACGCAGCCAAAAATAAATAAATAAAAATTTAAAAAAATGTTGAAACTGTGTATACACCCTACAACACAGGTGGACACACGCAAAATGTTCACTGTATTTTTAAATAATAAAATATTAGAAATCAATATCTAAATGGAGGAATAAGTTATGGCATATTTGTATAACACAATATTCTATACCAAATTAAATGACTTAAAATCTACATATATCAATGTAGCCGTGGAGGACTCTATGAGGCCGTCCCAGGACAGACCCCTCCCCCACATCTTCTGCTGTAGCTCCTCTCTGAAGTACCTAGATAATAGTATCTGATGCATATTTCCAGACTTTTTCAGATGTTAAAACCACCACCAAATGGAAGAAATTAACTACTTGGTGATCATGAGCAAGGAGCCCCACAGACTTTCCGGTGCTTAAGAACTGATCACCATCAACCAATCAGAGAATTGTACACAAGCTGATCACATACTCTGAGACCCCCTCTCCCCTACCTTGCCTTTAAAAATGCTTTGCTGAAACCCTTCGGGGAGTTTGGGTCTTTGGGGCATAAGCCACCAATTCTCCTTGCTTGGCCCTGCAATAAACTTTTCTCTGCTCCAAACTCTGATGTTTCAGTTATTTGGCCATACTGTGCATTGGGCACACAAACTTGCATTCCATAACATCGATATGAATGAATTTTAGACATTTGATGTTGCATTTAGTGGCAAGTTCTAAAAGTGTATGCACTGTTCAATACAGGTGATGAAAAGTAAAAAGATAACACAAAACAAAAAACCCCATAAAACAATATATATTTTTATGCTACTGTATGTTGCTATGGATAGAAAGATTTAATGCAAGTAATAACATAAAACAATAACATGATATTTCAGTGTTGTTGGCACATGAGTATTTTTCATATAATGTTTGAGCTTATTTAGATTGGGGCATATTGAACACATATTTAATAATGTTTAAATAAAAGCGTATCTTTATTTTTTGTTTCATTCTCTTTTTTTTAAAGAAAAAAATGCTTTCAATTAGTTCTCAACCATATTTACTTGTGGGTAAATTTGCAGCCGTACATATTTAACGTGCATATGTAGTCTTCCTACATTGTAGAATTTTTCACCTTACAAATGCTTATAAAGATAGATATCAAAGTAAATCTTTCTTGGGCCCTGGGACTCTGGGCACCCTGCCTTTGCACTGGCCCTTCAGGAAAACAGTGCAGTATGGTAGAGTCAGAAGTCAAGCAGACCTCACTCAAACCACAGTTCCCACACTTGTTATCTTGGGTGACCTAAGATGAATATTTTAAACTCTATGAGCTTCAGTTCATTCATCTGTTAAGCAATGTGAGATTTAAAAGTTGTTGAGAGATTTAAAGGTAATTTAACCATAGTGCAAAGCACGTAGCAAGTATCAATACTAGCTATTACTGACCTTATTATACATTACATATCTGTATAAAATATATATTATTACATAATTCCATTGTTCTATAACTGCAATTATACGTATGTGTATCAAAGATGCTCTCTGAAGTAATAAATAAAGAGATGTTCTTCCTAAAGGAATTAATGAACACACATACACAAAAATTTCAGACAAATTGGGTAAGGTAAAGTATGTAAATGATTTAAAGCAACCATTTTATTTTGTTCGTACATTCTGTGAGTCAAAGGTTCAAACAGAGCCCAGTGGGGACAACTTGTCTCTGTTACACAATATCTGGAGGTTCAGCTGGAAAGACTCAAAGCTAGAAGTGAATGTTTGTTTTCTAAGTTACTTGACAGAAAAATGTTTTAAAAAGGAGTCAGCTGCTCTAGTGCATTTGAGGCATAAGGTAGTATAAATATCCAGGAGAAATTCCTAAAAGGATAATATAACCCGAATAAAAAATAAGAGTTGATTTTGAGAAAGGGTTTTAAGAACTTGACTATTATATAAAATGGTACATTTATCTGTGATTCTTGGAAAGAACAGTTACTGTCTTAGAAACAATCTCACGTATCATGATATATATGTTAACATACTATACACGGAAAAATCAGGGCATAGGAAACCAGACTGAGCTCATGTGCCTGAGCTTTTGTTTCCACTTTTGGAAACAGCCTGTATATAAGGATAACTGAATCACTCCTCTGGTTTGTCTAGTCTTAATTTCTATTTCTATGGCTAATTAAAACCCTAATTTTCAAATAAATCTGCCCAAAGCTAGATGGTCACTTTTTTAGCTGTCAGTGGGTGGCTGACTCGGCCTGGTTCACAAGCCGCAATTCCATATACAAAAGAAATGAAAAAAATGCTCTGAATTGTAAGCAATCAAATTGCCATCAGAAACTAACAACAGGGTTTAATTAAAAAGGAAAATCCATAGTAATTCATTTTCTCCTTTCCACTCTTCACACAACAGAATAAGAGGTAGTACAGAGAAGCAATTAAAACGAAATCACCTTTTGCCCTTGGGGTGTCTGAGTAGAACCTTTACCACCAAAATAATTAGCTTCAGATTTCTCTTTTTCCTCCCCTTTGTCACACCGAAATTGCTTCCGGTCTTAGAAACAATGCATTGCCCTGCCTCTTCTGTTAACCCTAGGCTTCTAAGAATCTCAATCACCTTGTTATTTTGTAAAGATGGTAAGACTGCATACCTACAAGGCCACTGTCCCTATTCGATTAGGACCTTGAATCGGACTGGGAACCAGCCTGATCTCACGAATTACAACGAACTTATACAACCTCTGAGATGGGGTGACTGGACTGGAGTCAAACAGTGGGTGCACATGACTGTGTCCATGACCACAGGGTGCACCTTGAAGCTGCTCCTGCAAGGAGGGGTGACAGGAGGGAGGATTCTCGGGACACGAGTGTACCAACACTGTTGCAAAACTCAGTACCCATCCCTCAGATGAAAGCACACCCACTCTCCTGACCTTTGAACAAATGCTGCATCATTTACCCAGAGAGACTACAAGCACTGCACCTCAGCCATCAAAACCACCTGGCAATATTACACATCACAGCCAGAGGCTCAGAACCGGAGACTCATGAAACTGACCTGTCACAGCACATCACAATTTCCACACAAATAAAACACTCTACATCACTTCCAAACTACTCATGTCACTCTCACGCATGTCCTCACAGTATGGCAAACACAGGGGCATCTGGTAAACACTGGGTTCCAGTAAAGCAAACCCTGGTGAGGTTCAAAGTAGTTGTAGGTCCATATGCAAGGTCTCACTGAGGCTCGGGAACAAGAGAAATGGAAAGCGAGGCTCCACTGGGAGCTTCGGGGTGAGTAAAAGGGAGCAAGGTGAACAGGGTGACACAATCAGCAGACAGCTGGAGCACCACTGAGAAGAGAATCCTTCCCATTGGCTAGTACCCCACAGAATCCTCTCCCAGCAACCCCAGTGGTACACAGGACAAGAGACAGATAGAGCTCTTACTGTAGCACTCGGGAGTGGCTGAAATCTTTCAGATCTGAGTCTTCTTCGTAATACGGAGTTATCATTCCCAGCCCACTGTCACTCAGCATGCGTTTCCGGAGGGCAGGATTCCACCAGTCTGTCATTCTGGGAGGGAGGAGAAGGCACCAGACATTCAAGGTCAGCCACAGGACTTAGTCTGCTCTTTCTCAGGATGATTCTTGTCTCCAAATGTGAGGACGGACATTAATCTTTATTGGGTATTTACGAGGTATTTCACCCTTATTAGTCCGTTTAATTTTCTCAACCATCAGGAACTCTTTGTATGCTGCTGCCCTCTTTATAGATGAGAAAACTGAATTTCAAGATTAAGTAATTTTAGGGCTTCCCTGGTGGCGCAGTGGTTGAGAGTCCGCCTGCCGATGCAGGGGACACGGGTTCGTGCCCTGGTCCGGGAAGATCCCACATGCCGCGGAGCGGCTAGGCCCGTGAGCCATGGCCGCTGGCCACGGGAGAGGCCACAAGAGTGAGAGGCCCGCGTACCGAAAAAAAAAAAAAAAAAAAAAGATTAAGTAATTTTAAATATGACATAGATAAGAAGCAATGGCGCCTGATGTAGAAAGACAGGTTAGAAAAGAACAAAGCCTAGATTTGCTCTTTCACAGCTTCCCAGCTCTCAGTTTATTTCCAGAGGGGGCAATGGAAAAGAAATGAGAAAGGAACTGATTCAAGTTCTCGTGGATTTGCAGGCTACTTTATCTCTGGAGCTAGAGCTGATAGAGAATGACTGAGAGGGCAAAGCCCAGGGTGAGCTTGGCAAAATGGGCTCACCCTTCATCAGATCCAACACTACAGCCCCGATCAGGTGGGGTGGGAGGACACCTAGACTCCAGCACCTACCGCTTCTACAGGGGGACACAGCATCACACTTGCTTTCCCCACAACTGACAGTCTTGACTTATCGTATGTGGCTTTCCCACTACCTTCGGGACCCCCGGGGTTTTTTTATCAGGCCGTCCTTCGTGCCTGTCGGCTTTCCCTTCATGCCAGGACAGCTCCGGTATCAGTAGTTCCGGCTCCTAAACACAGCTGTATATCTGTTCCAGCCGCCACTTCTGTTTTCTCTTGGCCCCGCACAGACTAGGGACGTACCACTGCTATCAGCTGGCCTGGCAGAGTGGGAATGCTCAGAAATAGCAGCCGTGGTCGAATTAGTGAACAGGGGCGAACAGGCATGAGGCTTACCTCAAGTGAATATGTCTGCTAATATTGTATAAGTATGTGCACACACTTGCATATGCCATTTGAGCGCACGTGTGTGTGCTCTCCGGGGAAATCCTTATTTTAACTCTTTAGCGTCTATGTACCAGTAAACTACAAAAGTTCATTAAACTTCACAAGGGCAAAGGTTTCTGTGTTTTTACTTTTGCACTGTTGTTTCCCAAGTGCTTACAGTAGGACCTGGCACATAAAAAAGCTCTCTAAATAAACATTTCTGAATTTACGAAATAATCTAGAAATGTTAATGTTTTGGTGGTGCAATGTGGTGGTTAAAATACACATGGGCTCTAGCACGGAATAGATCTCAATTTTTCCCCTTTATTTTTTGTGCAATACTGGTCAAGTTACAAAAACTCTCTAAACCTCAATTTTGTTATGTATGGATTTAAAATAATAACAGTACCAAGTCTGCAGGGTCATTGTGAAATGATGACGATGATTTCAATAACATAATTTTTAACGAGTGTCTACCAAGTGCCACCAACTGCCCTAATTTTACATGTATCAACTCATTTAATTTTAAAACAATTGTATGAGTAGGTATTATGTCCATTTTACAGATGAGGAAATAAGCATAGAGCACTTAAGATGGTTAAGTCACTATGAAGTAATAGTAGGGATATAAGAAAGGCATTTAGCACAGTATGTGACTCATAATTATAAGTGCTTGATACCTACATGTATCAGGCTGCCTTGATACAGGAGAAAAAAGAGAAGGATGAGGAAGAAGAGGAGGAGAGGAAGAAGAGAAAGGATGTGGAGGAAAAAAATAATTGTCAAACCACCTGTGTCATTTTTTTTTTTTTTTGAGGTACACGGGACTCTCACTGCTGTGGCCTCTCCCGTTGCGGAGCACAGGCTCCGGATGTGCAGGCTCAGCGGCCATGGCTCACGGGCTCAGCGGCCATGGCTCACGGGCCCAGCCGCTCCGCGGCACGTGGGATCCTCCCGGACCGGGGCACGAACCCGCGTCTCCTGCATCGGCAGGCGGACTCTCAACCACTGCGCCACCAGGGAAGCCCCACCTGTGTCATTTTTTAATGTGATAATACAGGCATTACAGATGTATATGCACAAACGCAAATACTAGTGTTTTCTAGTTTGGTAGGAAATGCTGGTGTGGTGGGTAAAGAAGGCTCAGACATGACACAGATCTGAGTGGAAAGAGTAATTCTGCCCAGACATTCATAAGACAGACTTAGAATGGAACCAGCTGTACTACACTCTAAGGAAACACAAGAAAACCTGTATTTCAAAATAGTTTGATTTCATTAGAACTGTCAAGCGCAAGGCCAAACCAGACACGATGTCACCCTGCGGCCAGCTCACCACCACACCACCAAGGAAGAAGCCCACTCACCCGGAGGCTTGCTCCACCACCAGATCAGGCATTCCTGGGGGTGTCCCTGCCTGCTGTGACAACACCATATCTGGGTCCAGAATAAAAATCTCATCTTGAGAAACCTCCATCACAAAGTGCAAATGTTCCTAAGGAAGAAAAAGGAGTCTGTCAGATGACTGATAAGGTGTTCACATCCATCATCTGAAGAATAACAAAACAGAGCATTCTTGGTCTTGAGGAATAATGAAATTTTATGACATAGCAAATGACCACAGTGTATTTTCAGAGGCCTGACCAGTGGGCATCCCTCCAGAAACAACATGGTAGCAAGAGGCTGAGGAAGGGGTGAGTTGAATCCTTCTTGGTTTGGGACTCTGACCAGGATACTGTTAGGTATAACCAGAGATGGTCTTGCCTCTTCTTCTTCCCAAATACTATCAAAGAAGTGACACCCTACATGCAACTTGGTCCAGCATGCATGTACAATGACCTGGACTTCCAGGATCCGGTCAAAGCTAAGCGGCATGGCTAACAACTGTTTTTTTGTTTTTGCAGCACGCAGGCCTCTCACTGTCACGGCCTCTCCCGTTGCGGAGCACAGGCTCCGGACATGCAGGCTCCGGACACGCAGGCTCAGCGGCCATGGCTCACGGGCCTAGCCGCTCCGCGGCATGTGGGATCTTCCCGGACTGGGGCACGAACCCGTGTCCCCTGCATCGGCAGGCGGACTCTCAACCACCGTGCCACCAGGGAAGCCCTAACAACTGGTTTTATCAATGGATTCCATTCTGTACCTTCTTTTCCAGCGGGAGCACTAGCTATCATTGGGCATAAGCATTTTTTTTTTTCTCATTACTGAACTCTGGGAAGTGGTGAGTTGAAACCAAGCAACACAGATATACACTTGAGGTCTCAAATTTGCTAATCAGAAATAAAGTTAAAAAGGCATAAAATTTGGCTAGGAAGCAGTAAAAGTAGCAGTGTGAATGAAGATTTGGAGTGCAGGCTGGTGACAACTTCTATAAGCCTACCTATCTTCTGGATTCATCTTCAAGGTCAAACCACATCACCTTGAGTCCACAGATCACAAAACATGTGAAGACAAATAACAAGCTCATAGCTGAGGCTATGAATACCATTCCAGAATTTGTACACATTTCAGTGTTTTTGTTGAAAAAACAAGTAAAAGATTAGTATAGTTCCTGGGGAGTTTTTCACTTTCACAAATACGCTCAAGAAAACTTACCTGAGATCTGTCTATTCGATAAAAGCGATCAGCAGAAGTAGCTAGGGGAAAAAAAATGTATATGGCATTCAGAGAGGCCTGTGTTCTGGCACCAGATTTACAACCTTCTCACCTACGATGACAATCAAAAACCTTACATCCCAGTCAGTCCCTAAATCTACTTAGAAAAATTCAGGACTTCACACCTCTGCTGCCGCTATTCCACTGCTTAGGAAGCCCTTCCGCACTACACATGTCTACCTAAACCATGTCTTAACCCATAGAAAACAAACTTATGGTTACCAAAGAGGAAAGGGAGGGAGGGATAAATTAGGAGCTTGGGATTAAAATGTAAACACTACTACTATATGTAAAACAGATAACCAACAAGGACCTACTGTGTAGCACAGGGAGCTATACTCAATATCTTGTAATAACGTATAATGGAAAAGGATCTGAAAAAGAACTTATACACATAGGGTTGGCCAAAAAAGTTCATTCGACTAATGAATACATTGTTCAATAAAGTTCTTGGTGAAAATGAAAAATGTCTTATTTGTACTTTAAAGCGAACGAAGTTTTTGGCCAGCCCAATATATGTATCTGAATTACTTTGCTGTACACCTGAAACTAACACAACATTGTAAATCAACTATATTTCAATAAACTGTTTTTAATAACACATCATGTCTTAAGGACCAACTCAAATGCCACCTCTTCTGTGAAACCTTCCTCAGCCCCATCCTCCTTGCCCCAGGTAGAATTTGTTGCTCCTACCTCTATATGCACATTTGCATTTTGTGCATGGTTTATAAAAACTATCTTCACAGAGAACTCTGAGACTAAGATATCTGCCTCTTTAAAGATCTGTGTTTCATTTCTTCTTTTACGTCTCAAGATATCAGCACAGAACCCTCAAAAGAGCTGGGACTCAATATGTATTTATCAAGTAAATAAAGCTAGGAAAAACAAAAATAAACAAAAAAATACTGTAGGTAGCCTGACTTCCTGAGGAAGTGATTCTCATTTTGGAAAACAGTTTGAAGGTGCAGAGCTCGGGACCACATGTGGTATTAAAGGCATCATTTCACTTTAAAACTGAGTCCCTAAGCCATGTCTGAAGAAAGCTAAAACAGAAAAAACAAAAATTATTTAAGCAACCCTATAAGGGACTTGCCTGCATCTATAGTTTGAGGGGGGAAAAAAAAACAACTTAATGACAAACTTTGGGCTTCTAGAAATTAATCTGATTATTATCAATATTCAAAAGAATTATGTTCCTCCTCATTTAAATCTATCTAACAGAGTCCAGTATTATAAACAGATTTTCTACAAAGTACATAGTACTAGAGGGAAAAACTCAAAATGCAAATAATCATTCAAAAATCATAGATAATTTAACGAGTAGCTTCTCTCCAAAGGAAATAAGCTAAGAAATAAGACAATCATGGTTCTTGCCCTCATACTCAGGCAACAGGGTAAAATTTGCCTGAGAAGGACTTTGTCTACTTTGTTCTTTTAACCATGACTGCAATCACCTGTTAAATGTTCTTAATGAAACTATTTCTAGAGTAAAACTAATATCTAGACCATTAACCACACTTGTAATTTTATCTAAGACTGTATATAAAATAGACTATATAGAACAATTCATATACATTTTTGTAATTTTCTTAAATGTAAGTTGTTCCTCTGTGGATTCAGGAAAAACAAATGATTGCGCTTCTCATCACTAGGGAATAAAGGACCTGGAAGAAAAGCAGTATAGATTATCTTCAGAGGCAGCTGACAAGCCATTAATGAAAACCGATGTCATGATGTACGTGGATTAGATTTGATATAGATACAGGTGCTCATCTTTAAAAAATATTCACACCCTCACACATCCTGTCATTCTCTTATCCACATTTATATCCTTTCAGATGCACACAAAGCTGAACAAAAGAAAGGTCTACAGTGAAAGCTAAATGTCCACACAGACAAGAGAGATACCAGGTAGTAGATACACTGGGAGTATCTAAGCAGGAATGTACTGTAAAATGGGTAACTGGATAGAAAAGTGGGATTAGGCAGCATTTAGGGAGACAGAGATGGAAAATGGGCTCATTAACCAATCAGAAGATGACCGTCCTATTATACATTCAATAACAGCAGAGCAGATGTGAACACAACTGAAAATGCCTACCCTTTCACAAAAATTTATACCTCATCCTGAAATGATGGTTTACTGAAAATAATAGGGAAGTTCCATAATATGCAAACGACATACCAATTAGTACCCGCCCTCGTGCTTTATGGAATCAATCTACTGGCCTGAAGACAAGTACTCAACACGTTTTTGGAAAAGGGGCATGAAAGGGAAATATCACCTTGAGCAATTTGATGCTGAGAAGTTCGGCCAGATTAACCAACTTGCTTTGAGGGAGATAACTTTAAGAAAGTATGTTGCAGCACCAGCAAGTTCACATCGTTTGAGATGCAAATACCAATCACGTGGAGCCACGTGAAGGGTTTCTGAATAGTCTTTTGGAAAATTAGAGTCCGCTCTATCCATCAATACCTTGCCCTTGTGGCTTCCCCAATCCCCACCCCTCCAGGAAATGCAGAAACACTCACCATCTAGAAAGCACCACCGTGGGGAGAGTCTCTGAGCTGAGAGCGCCCTGGGGAAGGAGGTTTCGTGGTCCTGGAAAGAGACATACACATCCTGGTGGCTCCATCTGAATGACCTGAGGGGCGTCCCTCACTCCACATTCTGCCCCATCACCTATTTCTAAGAGTGAGCATCCTTTACTACACAAAGCGCTGGTGAGAGATGGAAGCATACTTTTCACTGCGAGGACACACGGGGACTCTGCTTTGAAATGAATGATTTCACATTAACAACTCCCATATCAAGTTTCCAGGAGATTTACAGTTATTCCATTAAACATTCATAAATTATACAACTTGGGACATGCACTTCCTTTGGAGACTCTCCTTCCCTTTATGAAGCTGAGGAACTAGTGGCAGCTGGCTGTCATTTGTATTTCGGTTCTCCACATAGGTATAAAAATGTCCCCTACTAAAAGAATCTCTGCCGTTAATAATTTTTAAAAACATGAAATGCACATTCTAGTTTACAACACATGATTTGGAGCATTCTGGCCCTGGCTCATAGCGAAATTGAGATCACTGACAGAAATGGAACAAATGACGAGGGAGGCCAGGTCTCCGCGGGAGGACACTGGGAGTTTGACCCTTACGAGAGATTTGAGATGTTCAAATTGAAGGAGCATCCTTGGAGTGAGGCTGGGTGTGCATGATCTTGTGTGTACAGAGGGGGACAGGGGAAGGATACGTGAAGAACACAGAAGGGATAAGAAGAGAGCGAATCAGGGGTTGCACTGACTTCTCTGGAAGTCTGATCTGCCCCACGTGGTCCTCAGGCAAAGCTGCTTAAGTCAGTGGTTCTCAAAAGTATGACCACCAGACCAGCAGCATCAGCTGGGAGGTTGTTAGAAACACAAATTCCCAGGTGCCACCCCAGACCTACGGAAACCCTGGGGGTGACACTCAGCAATCTTTGAGGTGAGTCTGATGTATGCTAAAGTTTTAGAGCCATTGGCCTAAAGTTATGGGGACAAAAAGGTCCGTTATTAGAAATCTTGGGTAGATGGAGTTTTTATATGAATGCATTCTGCCAATTAAATAATTAATAGAGGAAAAGTTGGTCTTACTCAGGACTGGTACCAAGATTTATATGTAGAGATACAGAAGTGATATAGCTATGGATACAGAGATATATAGTCCTCTTTTTTTGAACCAGCTTTGGGCTAAATGAAATCGTGACATGTACCTATTTATATGAGAATTGTGTTTAACATTTTGAGAATTATGTTTTGACACATGTGATATCTTGTTTTTAAAGGAACTTAGGGTTCTTAATGTGTTTTCATAAAACATCTAAAGCGACTAACATGTCTCAGTTTAGTGAGAACTGTAATTATAAATCGAGAAATTCGAAAACGATCTGAAACATTCAGTGGCAACTGTGAGGGCTAATAAACAAAGATGTCAAACAGAAATGTGACTTCCTTCTATAAGAGTAAAGGGACATAAACACCGAGGATACTTTCTGAATTTTGATGTCGAATGTGCTACAGAGACCGCCATGAAAAGTATCAGAATTTCCCTAGGTAAAAATTGACTCTGAAAGAATACAGAAATGCTTGCTTTTTAATTTTGAAAACCTAAAGACTGATAGTGTTATTGCTAGAATATTCAAATTCAGGAATGATGGCTATTACTTAGTTTAATAAAATGCAGGTTGATATACTGCCTCAGCTGCATAACCAGCTTACCACAGGCTGTTAACATAATATTGATATAATTGCGTACCTTTTCATGTGTGAGTGTCTGTGTATCTGGAGAGTTTTATGTATGTACCTGACTTATTTTGCTTATTTTTCTGTTTGTTTATTTACTCTGTACCTTGATGCACAAAGCATTTGATATAACTCAATTTCCTTAAAGGGGTTTTGCTTAAAGAGAATGTTATGTTGGCTCTGTGAAAACATTTTTTAAAGCCATAGAGCTCTTTAAAACACTTCAAATAGGTTCAACAATTCTTGAACTTCCTGCAATTTCCTGTAAATTTGGTGTGTCTATATGTATGTGTATTTTCCACTGCTTTCCATAGATTATCAAAGTGATCTGAGATCCCCAAAAGGTTAAAAAGCTACTAATTTAAATAATCAAAGTTTATATCAGAGGGGATTCAACAAAATTAGAAGATTCTAATCATTAAAATGCCTTAATGACATCCAGACTTACAAAAATAGGAATGACTATTTCAAAGGTACTGAAATACCTTTAGAGTATCAAACACCTGAAGCTCTCTGAGCAGCTGGCTTTTCTCCTACCATCTACTCTACTATTCTTCCTGAACCTCTTTCCTGGGATCTAAAAGCAAGCCGTAAATGAAGAATTGCAGCTTTGAGAATTTAAGTAAACTCACAGAAGTATTCAGATATTAAGTGGTAGAGTTATAATTCAAATACAGGCCTCTCTTACCACAGAAGCCATAATCTTAAATCCCAGGTTTATGGCTTCTAAAGGAATTACTATCATTTGGGGTTTTGAAGGATGGATGGGGTTTGTACAGGTCAAGTTTGAGAGAAGTTTTTTTTTTTTTTTTTTTAACTCAACTCAAGCAAAAACATGAGGAAAGCAAAAGAAAGGATGACCTTAATGGTTATGAAGACTTCTTTTGACTCTGGTGTTGAAGAATTTTCCATAGCTTCAGCTTTTGTTAACTGCTAAACTAATCTTCAGTATTTCTTAACAGGCAGTTCACTGCCTGGTAACTCGGAATTTTTCCTTCCTCAAATTCCCCAGCCATGTTACTACCTACTCTCCACCCCCATGTACCCATCTGCTTAAGAATCCCCTAGAAATATGGTAATCAATGGGAACAGCAGAGACAGAGAGTCCAGAGACAAGGAACTGAGACTACATTCAGGTAAAGAAAATTCTGATTATAGAGTTTAGATAGCTTCACTGTATGTATTATGTGACTGCAATTAGAAACTCTATACAAGTATGGCGAATATTAACAGATGGTTTAGCATGTGATACAGTTACAATTCTGCCACAACTTTATATTCAAATCTGTACAATGATGCTTATTGCAACATTGTTTTTTCAGGCAGAAACTGTATACAACATAAATGTCTATCCACAGAGATAAGGTTAAATCTATATCATGAAACAGAGGAGCAGTTTTAAAAGACTGAGTTATAGCTTCATGTATTAGCAAGACAATGTCCATGGTATATTACTGTTAAAAATAAATTGTGGTATAATATGTATAGTGAGTGCATAAGAAATGTAAATCCATTTTTTTTTTCAAAAACCAACAAAACCCCATATGTGTATGATGTACATCTATGTGTGTAACTTTGTATCAATGTGGAGAAAGGTACAAAAGGGTACACACCAGAAAGGTACTGTCATAAGGTCTACTTTGGGTGGGCAGTTAAAAACCAAGCAGAAGTCTAGAATTATGTGCAACTGGAAAACTAAGATAAGCCAGGATTATAAAACCTGGCAGACTTCATGACACAAGTAGCTAATGAAAGTCAAGAGAAATACCTTGAGAAATGTCTCTAAGAGGCACATGAAAAGATGCTCAAAATCACTAATTATTAGAGAAATGCAAATCAAAACTACAATGAGATATCACCTCACACCAGTCAGAATGGCCATCATTAAAAAATCTGCAGACAATAAATGCTGGAGAGGGTGTGGAGAAAATAGAACCCTCCTACACTGTTGGCGAGAATGTAAATTGGTACGGCCGCTATGGAGAACAGTATGGAGGCTCCTTAAAAAACTAAAAACAGAGCTACCATATGACCCAGCAATCCCACTCATGGGTATACATCCAGAGAAAAACATGGTTTGAAAGGGTACATGCACCCCAATGTTCACTGCAGCACTGTTTACAATAGCCAAGACATGGAAGCACCCTAAATGTCCATTGACAGATGAATGGATCAAGAATATGTGGTACGCATATACAATGGAATATTACTCAGCCATTAAAAAGAATGAAATGATGCCATTTGCAGCAACACGGATGGACCTGGAGATTATCATACTAAGTGAAGTAAATCAGACAGAGAAGGACAAGTATCATATGATATTGCTTATATGTGGAATCTAAAAAAAAAGTTACAAATGAACCTATTTACAAAACAGAAATAGACTCATAGACTTAGAGAACAAACTTATGGTTACCAGGTGGGAAGGGTCGGGGGAGGGATAGATTGGGAGTTTGGGACTGAAATGGGATTGACACACTGCTATATTTAAAATAAAATGCCTTTCCATGAAAAAAAAAAAAGAAATACCTTGAGGACCTTAATATCAAAGATGAATGTATACTGGGTGGATTAAAAGTAGAGCAGGAATAAAGAGAAGCCGATTGTCAAAAAGGAATTCGCAATAACCCAAAGCCAAGATCTCTAAACTTCTTTATACTCTGATGGTACCAACTAATGACAACCGCAGAGATGATGAGAGTCTTCTGTACTCATGTAACTCCTGCAGATTGTCTACCTATACCCGTTTCTCCTACTCAAAAAAGAGAATCAGAATACACGCGAGTGGTAGTGATGTTAGTATAGAGGTTAAGGAAAAACTTGCTGTGGTGTTGCCTTAACTCACATTGCTAACGCACTGTAGGTATTACATCAGGTAACCTGTGTCCTCACAGAGGGCCTGGCACACAGGTAGAGTGGGTGACCCTGGCGTTAAGAAATCCTGGATTCAGGGGCAGCAGGAGGGTGACCAGCAGCACAGTGCAGACCAGGAGTCAGACTTGAGCAGGAAAAGGGGATATAAGGAAACAAAATAGCCCCTAGCAGGAGGTCAAGGCTGGCCCCCAGGATTTCATGGGGCCATGGATCCATAGCCTCATGGACCCACTACGATGGACATGGCAACATCCTTGCCAGTGACAGTGAAAAGAATGGCCAGACATATGTTTGCTTTGTGAATGCTGCACATTAAAGTCAATGTACAAAGACAATTTCTGATGGAGCCAGAAAACAATCTCAAAAATATGCACCTTTCAACAGTATCTGACTGTAGACACTTAAGAAATGTGATTGTGTGAAACAGCTACATTTCAGGAGAGTC